ACAAGCACCAATTTGTCGTTGTCTAAAAATCATTCGTTTTCGATGTTATACTAATTTTTGGTTGAAAAATAAAAACGAAATCTCCCTCAAGGTAAACATATTGTCCGACTGAATGGTTATATCCAGAGAGCCGTACCACGTTTTAACGACAGTTTTCTGTCAGGTCTTCCAGCAGGAACGCCAGTTATGCAGAGCTACGCACTTCACTATGAGGCTTCGTATAATGAAGTTTTCCATTATATCATTAAAATCAACATTTTGTACTCCGGTTTTATGACTAGTAGTGGTCATACAGGATATGATTTTTTTTGGGGGGAGGGGAGGGAGTGAGGGAGTGAAAGCCTACCGTAGATTCGCCTGTGTCCATGACTAATTTTTGTATCTAGTTCTATTCTGAACCATCCCATTTACCTTCGATAAAGAATCAACAGGAAATTTATTTACTACATTTAGAACACTGAATCAAGCAAAGTTTACACAGAAGATATAAAAGGGTACACGATAATTAACGCATGGGAACGTGTTAATCAACATGCTGAGCTATTCGCGAAATATGAGATCATCTGTTTGGTTTGCTGGATAGGCTCAATAGATCACGAGGAAGTGTATTCGGCGAGGGTATACGGGTGAAGGAGGAGAGGAAAATGGCTAAGTGAACCTAACCAGTGGGATAGATATATCATAGCCTACGGTGGAAGATAAACGACACGCCTGAAAAGTGTCAGTTTACACAGGGCGGTAAACAGGCAACACTGCGAGCAACTGTAGTAGTCCGTCTTTAAAGTTAAATATAATCCTCTGTTTGTTGCTTTTTCCTTAGAGGTAGCTAATCCATAACGGTTTTTTATTCGATCAAAGGAAAAAGAGGAAGGTCGCTGATGGATCTAAAGGAATAATTAGGAGCCATATAATGTCTAAATACGAGCTCAGCGGAAATCTGGATTTCTATAGAACTGCGCCTTGCCGGGGTTACACAACACTGATATTCAAACTTAATATTGACAAAATTAACTGACGTCTACATTGGCTAATTTGACATTATGAAACAATAAAGAGAAGCAATAAAACTAAAAATACTCACAATAACTAAGACACAAGAACAACAAAGAACTGGGTCCGATTGGTCACTCGACAAAAGTGAATCCCCCGCCGACAACACTAGGTCTGTCAGACAGCTTAAAAAGGGCGGATCTTTTTTGTAGGAGCTGGGTGGACTTGCGTGACACACGTCAACATGCCATCATTCAATCCTGATCTCTGGCCAATTCAATTTCCTTTTTTTATTTAGATATTCCTCCTTCTATTTCACTGCTTCCTTTATAAATGGTCCTACAAGATATTATCTTTCAAAGATTAATAGTACCCTTTCGTGGCAGAAATAAAAATAGCCGGACCTCATTAAGAGTTGGGGCTACTCAAGAATCCTCTATATTTTATTAATTGAGTTGGTAAAGTTAATATGTCTAACCTCACTAGCGGATCCAGGATTTAGATTAGTGGGGCTTCAGCCAGAAAGATTTTTGTTTTTAATTATACAAGGATAATTACTTAGGAAGAAAAGAATCGAACTAACTACATATATGAAATAGAGTTTGATTGGTTATTTAAGTAATATTAAATGAAATTATACGAACATTAATAATTTAAGAGGTAATTATTAAATATTTTTTTCATAAGACATGGTTATATTTTATCATTTTTTTGAAGGGGGGAGAGGGGGGAACTTCAACCCTAAAGCCCCTCCCCATATCCCCATTTCAGCCATAACCCCACCTGCCTAACCTTATGTTTTGCTGTTACAGATGGTAGTAACCAAATGGAAAGAAAATCTGAATAAAAAGAATAAATGACTTGAAGTCAGTCAGAAACAATGATAAATCATATGAAACAATACCTCAAACTATATGTATGAGTATACATAATTATATATACATATACTCATAAACTTATTCCTGAAACACTGAGTAGGTGAAAAGCATCAATTTTTGTAGGTTTTATTTTTTATTAATTCTTCAAATTTTCTTATACCTTTTTCCTACTTTTTGGCATGTTGATTATAAATAAAATAAACATTTACTATTTTTTTAGCATCAATGTAAAATTTTACATTGATATTATTTCTCAATTTTTAATTTGATTAAAATATCTGGAAAGTTATTTTGTCATATAAAACAACAAAAAATTACTGACTGATTTCCTCATCATCATAATTCATTATCGTTCATAATCAATGAACAACGACCGGTAGTATGTATAGGCACATCATGAATGCTAAATTTTAAATAAGCACTATAGATACTAGTCAAAAACAGAAAAATTGATGAATTGTAAATTTGCGATAAGAAATAAATTACAAAAAATTGTCTTTGTCTCAACAGCACACATCTGTAATTTTCAGAAAGTTGAGAAATGGCCAAATAATGGATTTTCACTTTTGATAAGAAGTCACTCAAATAAAGGAATGAATATACATTTAATTATTTGCTTCTTCTTCTTCTGCTTATGTATTATATAGTTTGTATTATACATATCAGAATGTTTTTAGTGTATTAGTTATATTTTTTGTTTTATTATTTTTTCAAAATCTAAATCTTAACAATAAATGTAAATAATTAATTTTATGTATGGCCACACAGGCATTTATTCTGAATCTGTAATTTGTCATAAAGGGACAACAGTCCCAGGATAATAAAAAAATATTTTTATTTCATTTCATTTTAATTTTCATTTCTTCCTGTTATATGTCTTTATTCATCTATATTATATCAACCAGATTTGTTTCTTTTTTAAACCATTGCATTTTTTTTTAAGATGTGTTTTTCTAGTTGCTTATTATTTTTAGGTCATTTCTTTACATATTATTGTTCTAGAAAAGTAGAAATGCATGTTGAACAATTGAATGACATTGTGTCAACCAAACTTGCAAAGGTATTTATGTATTTCTCACATAACCAAGGAATCCACAACAGTGATACAGCAGCTCAAAATAGAGTGGAATGGTGGAAGCTTTTAGACAAGCTTCTAATTCAGTAATGAATTCTCAGGCCGAATTTGATTAAAACAAAGGAATATAATTTATGCAATCTCTCTCTCTATGTATATACACCATAGCAAATGCAATATTAAAGAAGTGATTGCCATATAAAATACAAGAATCAATACGATATTAAACACCAATGAATCTATTAAATATAATATATACAATATAAAATCATAAATTAAACAACGGAAAGTTCTGGTAAAACCAAATAACTTGCACTGTAATCTTACCTCTCTGCCTAACTCGGTCTAATATTAAAGCTTCTTCAGTGTAGTTTACCATTTATTAAATAGTTGAATGTAGTTTATATCAATTTCAACATTATAAGTATAATTTAGTTATTAATTTCCTCCAAACATAATTAATATATTTCTGATTTTGCATGAGTTCATTGAAAATTGATTATTTGTAAATTTGTAAGAAATAATAATAATTTTTTTAATTTAACATTATAATTGTTTTGAATGTTAAAATAAATAAAATAGCAAAATTTATCTAAAAGATCTAGATAATTCAAGAATTAGTGTAACTTTCGATCACTCGGATTCAAAGGGATCATCTGACCTCCTCTAGAACTTCCAGCTGTATAAGCTTCCCAGCAGAGTGGTGAATGTGAGTTCAGTTATTTGCTAGAAAGTTTTAGTTAGTTAATAGAATTAGTTAGTTCATATTTAATCAGTGTGTTCAAAGTTAACTTGGGAGTGAGTTACTCGATAGGAAATTAGTTGAGTAATTATCAATTACTAGTAGTCCGTGGTACAGACCACTTTTTATTAAATTATTAACATCTATCTAAAACTTCGTGAATGGCTTAATTTTATCTTATTCTACAACTTTTTTATCTACGAAAATTCTCAAAAATGGGACAATTTTTCATCAAATTAATTAATGTTCAATATTGCTTTTGGTGAGTCCACTATGAATAAAACAAGAGCTTAAGATCATTCTGACTGCTCCAGCACTTTCAAAACCTATGAAAACATGGATAAAGTAAAATGATTATGAACAATCACTGAATCTACGTATTCTACACCATTTGTGAGAATCCATCCCTAAGAAAATGCCTGGATTTATGGCAAAACAATTCATGGGTTTTGCACTACAATAATGCCCTTCACGCACTTCATTGCTTATTCATGAAATTTTGGCAAAATATGTAACGGTAGCCATACTCCAGCTTCCATATTCTCCTTATATGAGCCTGTGTGACTTTTACCTATCACTCTCTCCAAAAAAATAATCTTAAAAGGCCATAGTTTTTCAAGCATCACTGAGAGAGCTAAATGCTATTCCAAGTTCCAGAGCTCTGTAGAGAAATGGAAGAAGCACTGGCATAAGAGTATAGTATTTAAGGAGAACAACTTGAGAGTGATAACATTGTTGTAGATGAATAAATAAAATTGTATTAAAAAAATGACAAATTTCTATTAATTACTGAACCCACCTCGTACTTACAAAGAAGATAAACAAAGAAATTACTTTAAACGGCATTTGATAAACTTCAATTAAAACTGTAGCCTGACCATGAAGCAAAATATTATTAATTTCCCCAAAATATTTATTTTTAGATAAATAAAGGTGAGGAACCATGTTAAAGTGAATAATGTTAAATGAACTAAGTACTATAAAAATTAATTAAAGTACAGAAAAGTAAAAATAATACAAGAAAAAAATATTAAGATTTTTAATCCTAGTAAAATAACAAATAAACTAATCATGCCATGTTAAAATAAAATAAAATTGTAAAGAAGATAAAATTCTGAAATCTAAGTTTCAATGTTTGAAAATAGTGTGGATTAAAAATAGATTTCTAAGTTAAAGTTATCTTTCTAGAATGAGTCTACATTAATTGCAAATCAATTTTAAAATTGGTAATGTAAATTATTCATTATCACTACAAACAAAAATTGCATGCAAGAAAAAAAATAATCAACTTGTAATATTTTTATAATGTACATACCTCCTCTTATCTGAATTCGAGTTGGCAACAAAGTCATAGATCTGGGCTTCGTTATGTGACGTATTCACAAGAAAAAGTGCCTTTTTATCTAAAAAAGAAATAAATAAAATTAATGAAATAAAGAAACTTTCCAACTATAAAACATTACTTTCATTGAATAATAAAAAAAAGGAGTATATTAAGACAACTTAAAGGAGGATCTTGAGAGAGGAGCTAGAGTTAAATGAAGTGAAAAACCTCTCTCTACAAAATTTTAGATAACAAACTTCGCAAATAACCACCATTTTGATTATTTCCTTTTTTTACATTTTGATTCCTTTTGTATTTTTACTATCTCACACACTCTTGTCACTTACTAAAATAAAAGAAACGATTGTTTAAAAAATATTTTTCCTGCTTGACAAATTATCCTCAAGGAAAATTGTAGACCAAACAGAGACGGTAATGCTTTTTCCTCTTAACACAACTGCGCATTAAATGTTCTTTCTGCAAATTGTTTACATTAAAGATATAGTTGAAATGAAGGAAGTAATTATAAGCTTACTGAGGGATCTTCCAACCTTCACTTCGGTCTGATATTCGGACGTTCACTAATCAACACATGGCATTTTAACCTTTTAAGGATTGTTTCGTAACTAAGCACAACAATTTTTCACCCATTTTATTTGCCACAATGTAATCACCTCAACTATATTAACTGGATTCAGTTCAAGCAATTCACGCAATTTCAGAGGTAGTATGGCCGAGCAGGCTAATGCGTGTGTACAGCACCATGTTGCCTTACGATTCAAGTTAAATTATCCGGATCACAGATAATTTGATCAAATAATTACGGATTTGCATCCTGGTACCTGGAGGGAAGGGAGGAGGGGTGATTTTAACTCTGGCATTAAAACACCACCATCACCTCCTGGCCCGGGAAAATCCCGCATGGCTTAAAAGGGGAGGAAGGGAAGGAAAAAAAGTTCATACAATTCTGCGTTGTGTAACTGTCTAAAGTAGTTTCGTCACAGCTTAACCTTAATCTCCTCTTCAATTTTTTTTTCTAGTAATCATAAACCCTAGATACCTAAACTTTGAAACCCAGGCATTGAGTTTCCTTTCACTTTCATATGTCAGATACCCAGGATTCACTGCCATAAGTAGCTATAGGTCTGAGGATAGTTTTGTATACCAGGAGTTTTGCTTGTTTTGAAAGAGCTTTAAACTTTAAAACCTTTGTAGGGCATAAAGGTACTTGTTACCTGCATAGAGCCTTGCATTACATTCCTTTTTCATTCTTTTGTCACCTGTTATGACAGAACAAAGGTACTTATTTTAAAAGTATATGTACTGTTAAAAATTTGTTCACTGATCTGCAGCTTGTGGTGCAGTGGTTTGTTCCTGGAAGTTTTTAAGTATTTTGTTTTTCCTTCATTAACATGAAGGCCCACTGCTGGCACTGCCGTGCTTCTAGCTATTATGAAAACAACATCCGCAAATGCCAAGTACTGTGTGAGTTGCTTATAAATAGTTCCATTAGGGTTGATTCATATTGCCCTAATAGCTCTTTCCAAGGATAAATTGAAAACGACAGGTGATAGTGGGTTTCCCTGCTTCACACCAGTATTCAGTGCTAGTTCTTCTGACAGCATTCCATGTATTTTTATCTTCATCCTGCTATCATGCATGGTCATCTTTAGTAGTTCCTCTCTATTAACACTGTCATATGCCTGCTTAAAACCGATAAATAAACTATGGAGGTCAACATTAAACTCATACCCTTTTCAAGACTCTGCCTTAGCAAAAATATCTGATCAATGGTTGATCTTCCAGCCCTGAAACCATACTGATAGCCGTCCAGTATCAGTTCAGAGCACTTCATCAGCCGTCTGTTTAGCAATATAGAAAATACTTTGTAGGCTATATTCAAAAGTGCTATCACTCTACAATTATCACAAGATAGCTCTCGCTTTTCTTATGTATGGGGTATATTGATCTATTCAGGCATTCTCTCTTCAAACCAGACAACAATTGGAATAATTATTGTTCTTTAATTTGCCAATTATTTCTTCAATTTCTTCTTGTTCCGGTGGCTCTACTTCTTCATCTACATCTGCAGGTAAACCCATTCAACATTTCAGCTGCTTAATTCCTTCCTCTTTATACTGGTGCTTGGGCTCTACTATTTTAGAAAGTGTAAACCTAACTTTAATCAAATCTCCTTTTTAAATTATTTTTATATTTTGTGGTCTCAAAATAAAATTTCTAGTTAACTGAATTTTAATTTTGTTGGCCATCTTGGGCAAAATCCTAGAAAAACGTTTATTATTACACTTTTACCTAATACTAGATTTAAATCACATGATTCCTCACCATCAGTTTAGATTACCAACATCTCATTCCACTGTTCAGCAGTGCCATCGTGAGGTGGATATCATATTCTCTACATTGAAGTGTTGAATGTTCTGCACAGGAGTTTTTCTTGAAGTAGAACAGGTTTTGGACTGATTATGGCACCCAAGAATGATTCACAAACTGTTTCTATTCCCCCCTCTACACATTTCATATTAATACAATCCTAACTCAAAGAAAGAACCTTCAAAGTAAATAAGAATTTTGTGCATCCATCTCTTTTTTTCCTGTCCACCTTTGTTCCTTAAGGGAGTATCTTATGCCCAATCCTCTATACATTTAAACATCTGATATCTCTACCTACCCTACCAATATTCTCACTATTCATGCTGTGGATACGTATGTGTTATCTATCATAATTAATAATGACTCAACAGTTGCATTCCAATCCCAGCAGTCACACACCATAGCTATTGAAGAAAGGTGTTAAAACTTATCGTTCATCACAAAGCTAAAACATTCTGTTCTACTTTAAACCTTTGACAATATTTCGCCTTTCTTTTCAAATAGATCTACTATTTAGGACTACATCTTGACAAGCGTTTTACTTATAATCCTCATAAATGACTGAAACAACAAGAAACTACTCGAAGATTCCAATTAACACAACATTTACTTAAAAAATGCTCTAAACTTCCAATATACTACAAAAAACTCATCAACACTACTGGTGTTTATAAACCTATAGGGATACATAGAATTAAGCTTTGGGACTCCACAAAACCTTAGGATCTCCACAAAGAACCAAGTATGGTTCCTCTTCTCGGTTATAAGTAGGGAAGCATAAAGAACTGGTTTAATATTCTGTTTTCCACCCTCCCCCCCCAACTAAATGTTTGGAGCCAATCAGACCGGCCTTTGATTAATGAGAAAATTCCTATATTATTAAGATTTCACTTCTCTAAATCCTGTCCTAATCCCGAAAATAATTCTATTGAGCTTTAAATAGACTTTTCATGAGATGAAATAAAAGCACAGTACTCCATCTTTTATGTGGAAAAGGATTTCCAACTCTTTACATTGGAGTGGAGAATCATTTTCTTCAGGAAAGAATACTTTCTCAGGTATCTATAGGTACTATGGGCTATGCTATGGTAAAAGTCAAGAATCATTGCACATTTTCGGTTCAATGGGTGTTAATGTCAAGCTTATTGGTCCAATCCATCGTGAGTATTATTGCAATGATCAAAGCCTTCCACACTGCTACTTCATCAGCAAATATTAATATATATTAAAACTACTTGGGAAATCGTAAGTGCATAAATGTTAAAAAAGAATACTTTCTTAAGGACCTGTATTGTTATATGCTTCAAATTTCCTTATTGTATACAATAAATTTCCTTTCCTACAGATGCAATTTAACCATGCTACGGCTTTTATCTTTATACTCATTCTAATCACAAAAAAACATAGAAGTTCTTCAACCCTTACTTACTCATCTAGACCTCAAACTTCATTTTTTAATGAGTGTATTGACACATACATACACCCAAATGTTCTTCTACTAATACTAAATTTCAAACTCTTTCACTTAAGTGCATACATACAAAGTTATACTTAGTTCAACAGTCAATTTATTTAATAAACAATTTTAGTTTTTAGCCACCCAGTTTTTCATCGTTTTACATAACTGGTCTATTTGAGGTCTATAGATGATCATATTCACAAGAAACAGGATGGTACTGAGGTCCCAAATGACAGATAATTCTCTTCAAGTATAATCATTGAATATGATAAAAAATAAATTTGATTAGATGTTGAATTTAATAAAATCTTTAATGTTTGGGCATAACATGTTCATTTGGCATGTAACATTATTTTGATTATCAAATGTTGCACATTATTATGAAATGTTAATAATAGCATGAAAATTGAACAGTAATTGGATAAGAAGGGAATTAAAAAAAAAAACAATTAAAATTTGATTGTTTCACAATTCATACTTCATAGATCCAATATCGCTAAATCAAGGAAACAGTAAACAAAACTATAACTGTAATAAAACTGTAAATATTTTTCTAAAAATATTTTGCACGAATTAAGACGGAAAATTGAAATTTATCAAACTGGAGGACACATATCTTCCCCACCATGATCATATAAGAATAAAAAAAAATATATTGGACTAAATCAGAGTTTCTTAAAAATCTTGTTTAGCTGATTTTTACTCATTTCTTAATCCTAGAAGGTATTTTTAAAAATCTCATTGAAAATCGTTATTTTAGTATTTGATAGTTTCTTACCGACTGCGTTAGGCCTGACTAGAACAGTAGATATTTTTATTATTGGACTTAAGGATTGACTATAGAACTTCAGAACAAACTTTTCATCTTGCTTTTGCAGGAGGATTATTGCATCTTCTAATAGAAGAACATGGAGATCTATAAGTTTCTGCCTGTTCTGAATTCGCAAAAATAAAGACCCTTCATAAAGGAGGCGGTGTTTCGTCAAGTCCAAATTCTGAAATATTAAAAAAAAAAAGTTAATTCAAATAATTAAATACCAAGGTATTACTTTAATACAATAAGATTTAATTTATAATAATATTTTGCTAGGGGAATACAATAACTATTATATTGGGTTGGCAAATAAGTCCTTACGGTTGTTCAGGCTGAAATAAAACTCAATTTATTATAAACACAAAATTTATTTTAATCTACAATATATTGTCCATTATTTAATATGACTTTCTCCCATCTTTTCACTAACTGCATAATGCTATGTTCATAGAATGTCTGGAGTTTATTGTTAAAAAACCGATTCAAGTGATTTTTGTTGTCCTTTTATTTTTGTGGTTTCTTTGCATTCATGGAGTTCTGCAGAGATCGGAATGAGTGGTAGTCACTTGAAGTTAGATCTGGTGAATAGGAAGGGTGGGGCAAAGGGTCCCATCTAAGGCTCAATAATTTATTGCGAGTGACCAATGAAATGTGTGGCCTAGCCTAGTGTTGTCTTGGCAGAACACAACACTCTTCTGATCATTCATAACTCTTCAGGATGTTCTCCAAATTCAATGTTACTATATTCATTGAAAAGCTGAAATATTGCTCTTCAAAGCAGTATAAATGATTTTTTGATTTAATTCCTACATAAGCTATAAATAAACAAAAACTCCTTATTGGTTTTTATTTTTTATCTCCATTTGTAGTTTGTTTACAAAGTTCCCGCTGATGTCATTTTGTGTAGTTTATGGTCCTAAATCCCTGCTTAAGTGATTCTAGATAACTAAAGTTGTATTGGAGTTATAACATTTTTTTGTGCTTTTCAAAAAAAAAAAAATCATGTGAGGGACCCAAATATTAAGCCTACTAACATAGCCAAGCTTGTGCAAATGGTTTTCTACAGTTGTGTGCGACACAATTAGGGCTATAGCAATCTCTCGCACTGATTGGGTGAGATTTTGAACAACAATGGCCTTAACATGGCTCGTTTCAATTTCATGTTGGTGATCAGACCGTTGAGCATCATTAAGGTCAAAATTTCCTGAATGAAATTTGGGAAACCAATTTTTACAGGTGCGTTCAGTTAAGGCATCATATCTATAAACACTGCAAATTGTCCAATGAACTTCTGTAGCACGCTTATCTTTTTTAAAATAATACAACAAAATATGCCGATAATGAATTATATTTTCTTCCATATTCACAGTGCAATAGCAAACACAATACTAAGCTAGTTTCAACATGAGTTAACAGATATAGTTGTTGACATATTACAAACAGAATAAACAATCCACGTTAGGGATTAATTCATCAGATAAGAAGTGTATCATAGTGACATATAAATAAACAGAAAAACCGAAAGGACTTATTTGCCAACCCAATATTTATAATAATACTAGTTATATAAATTACTAGTTCTAGTAATATAATTTTTCATCACACTTGATACAGTGCTATAATTTAAATGTAAGTCTTTCTCTAGCAGTACACATGTTTTACAAAAAAAAAACTTTCTAAATAAATTAATTTTATTTTTAAATACATATCTGTGGCAACTCTGAATAGTGTAAAAATCATGTTTTCAGAAAAATATAATTAAAAGTTTGGAATTTTCACAGGTAAAAGTTCAATTTTCAAGTTTCAATCCATGATTTACAAAGGAATATTCATCTCTGTAATAATCGCATAAGTTGGAAACAAAGAAATAGAGAAACATTAGATTTCCCGATGAAACCCATAAAAATTCACAAAATTGCACTTAAGATACTATTCACAGGTGTCACAGATATAATAACTTGATCGCTGAACCATGAGACTAAACGACTGGAGGAAAAGTGATTCATTCAAGTTATACCATTCCTGTCAGAATTTGAATTCTAGCATTAAATTCAATATATCAACCCATCATCTTTATTTATGCTATCATAACTAGCCAGTCATAATGTTAGATTTTTTCGATTGTTTATTTACCTTGTTTTTTCTTTTTTTAATGCGAAATTTCCCTCATGTAATTTTTTATTAGTGGCCCCAAAACGTACATGGCATCACATGTTATTTTCGTAACATTACCACTTCTGCAATACTTTGTTTCTTGACCTGTTAGTCAATACAATGCTAATCCAGAAATTCGTCAAGTTGTTTTATGTAATTTGATTGGAAACTGGATCATAAATCTGGCTGGTTGGTTATTCTTAATTAATGAAAAATACACAAATCTGAATGCTAAGTACAAATTCAAACCACTAATACAATCATAATTCCAAAAACAACGACTAAGTCAAGAAACATCCAAAATCTGTAGATTAATAATTAAAAAATAAACAGTAAACAATAACAAATCAAGTTAGCACTTGAAAGTTCATTTTATACCTAAATACTCAAGGCACAAAAACATTTGAGTGAGGTGGGAGGGTAGATTATTACAATGTGCTAGCAAAGATTATTAATCATTGGTTCAACTACATTTTTCATTGACAATACAGACCTTGTAGATTTTTTGCCGCCTTAACAAGCCTACTCCACCTGCAGCTCTATTGCATCTTTGTTGATTCTATACATCTGCTTTTTGGCCTTCCATGTGGTCTTTTGCCTACTATTGAGGCAATCATTCCCATGTAGAGGCTTCCAGGTGGATTGTACCGAGTTACATGCCCCACCAATCATAACTTCTGTGCCTTCATATCATGAAATATTGATTGGCCAGTTCTCTATGTGTTAGTGCTCCTAAGATAAAAATCCTTTCCTGAGAGAGAAAACCTCCAAATTTTTCAATACTTTTTTTCTAGGATTTAGGCTGGTAAGATCTCACAGCCATACATTAGAACTGGCTTTATCATAGCATTGCACATCCTTAATATGAGATTTCTAGAGATTTTTCGGAATTTCAATACCTCTGAAAGGGAGAAGAAAGATTTGTTTGAGCTTGTTATACATTGGTCTATTTTTGACCGTTGGTCATTCATTGAGGTTATTGTGGAGCTGAGGTGTATGAATTTTTCTACTTTCGGAAACTATTTCTCTTCTAAGCAGATCTTGTTATTGGGGTGAAATTTTCGGCTTATTATCAAATATTTTGTTTTGTCTTCATCCAATTGTTGGCCAGTTTGCCCTGCTTCTCTTATCAGTCTTAGCGAGTTTTTCAATGTCCTCTTGATCACTCTCAAGGAAAGCTATATCATCTGCATATCCAAGGATTTTATAATTCATTTTGACATGGACCCCTTCATTTTCCATTCCTCTGTCACAAAACTAGTTCGAACTTTCAAGGCTTCAGATACTTCTGCTTGTATTAGGACTCAATATTTTGGTTCATTTGTAAATCCCTTTGTCAATCTCACTAACTTACCGGGAACTCCCAGCTCAGTCAGTATTTTCCAAAGACAGTTCCTGTCCACAGAATCATAGGCTACTTTGTAATCGACGTAAGGAGAGAATGATATTGGCTACTTCCCATCATTTTTTGAGAACTTGTTTTAGGATGAAGATCTGGTCTTACATGCTCCTTCCTTTTTTGACACCAGCTTGGTGGTTGCCTATGGTATCTTTATAATACGGATATAGCCGGTTGAGTAGGGTAAGGGTCATTATCTTGTAGGCAACCAGAAGCAGTGCTATGCCTTTGTAATTAATACACTCATTCACGGAGCCTTTCTTTAGGATAGGGCAGATTAGGCTCATATTTCAAGCCTGTGTTATGTTATGCTTTCCTCTTCCCATATTTTTGGGATTAGTAATAGTAATTAGGTTCTTACGCCTTCTGCCCCATCTTTCAATAGTTCTGATGGTAGGTTATCCATTCCAGCGGGCTTTCATATTTTAAGCCTTTCAAAACTATTTTTACATCCAGTATAGCTATCAAACAGTATAAAACTACTATTTTATCTTTATTAAAGTAAATTAAAAACAACATACAACAGCAAATTTGTAAAACTTGCAATGCAACTAATTTGCTTATTGGCAGGGCAAATTGATAAAGAGGGAATATAAAAACTGATGCATGTGTATTAAAAGAGCTCATGATTCGACATTCAAGCTGCACTTTATTCCTTAATACTAAAAATAAACTTAAAACATTTTTATAAAAAAATTACCTTGAACTCGGTCGAGGTAGGATGGTCTGTTCTGTCATAAGAAGAGGTATCTAATCGGCGTTGTATTTCTAACAGCCGATTATGGTTTTCTGCCTCCTTGATAGCAGAATCAACATGGTTAAGAACCTCTTTACTCCTTTCAAGTGCCCTCTGCAGCCTATTTACTTCATCAGAATCACAGCCTTTTGAGTACTTTACCAAATTCTCCAGTAACAAAGGATATTTAGTCAACCTATGCAGAAAAAAAAGTAAATGAATTTCTCCAAAAGGATTATGAATATTTAATTTTATGTAGAAAATGAGCAATTATCATAGACTTTCTATTATATTTTGAAGGCAGGCCATTCAGCCCTTCAGTTAATGTTAAGTTAAATAGAAATGACCAAGGTGGATGACAAAAGAGTCATTACTACAAATTAAAAAAAATTTATAAGGATAAAAACAAAAATGGGGAATAGGTACAATAATTATTTGTAAATTTTGAAGGTGAAAATTTCAACATTTCTGATAGTTTTATATTCTGATAGTTCTATCAAAGTTGAAATCATAATACAATATTTTGAAAGCTACTAATGAAAAAAAAAGCAGTAAAAACTTCTGAAAAAAAAAATAAGATGACAATTAAATAATGTTTGATTAATTTAATAAATTCACAGAATAAAAATGACCCATTATAAAAAGAAAAATTATTTTAAAAAGAAGTAGGTTTTATTTGTTCAACGATTATAATTGAAGGACGGGGTAGAAAAATTCTAATAATTATAAAAGTAACAAAACATTACTTTAATTTAGTTTTATTTCATCAAGTTTCTAATTATGATTTTTTTTTTTTTTTTTTTTTTTTAACAAAAGATTGTTCTCTATAAATGATATGGATATAAAAATATTTGTAATTGTATAAAAACTAATGTGGAAATTATTTAACACTAATAGGTACCTTTGCCAACCAGTAGGAAGAATATCTTTTAATTGAAGCCTCCGACATACTGAGTTCATTTCGGCCTCATTTAGAAAAGTGTGAAATTTTTGATCTTTTTTTCTCTTTTCTTTTAGAAGTTCTAAAGAACTGTGCTGCTGAGCACAAAACATGGCAGCAGCTTTTTGAAAAGTTTCACCAGCTGTTCCATCAAACTAGAAAAGAAAATTAAAAGATTTTAATATTAATAATTAAGCCTTAAGATTAAAAAAAAAGTATAGAAAAAGAAAAATCAATCCCCAGGGGAGGACAGCTTTATAGGAGCGGTTGTTTTGTTTTGTTTATTTGATTTAAAAAATACAGTTTAATAGTAAATTATTTTAAATGTAATACATTTGATTTTTTTCCATTACTGTCTCTTTGATTTATATTTATTTGTTCAATTTTCAGTTATTTTTCTTTCAAAAGAAGAGACCCACAATTCCTTAATAATTCACTTATCCTTTACTTTTCTACTTAGTTAAAGAATTTTAAAAATATTTTACAATTGTTCCACTAATATCATTAATAGAATAATTAATAACATGTAAGTAGAAGTAGAATTAAAAAAAAGTCTTACAATAACTTTTATTATACATTTTTATATAGAAGAGAAAAAAAACTGACAGAGTAGAATAGAATTTATGAGTATTATAATATATATTAACAGGAATATTTAAATATGAAAAAAATAAAAAACGAAATTTAAAGTTTTTAGTTAGTCATTTTATTATTTTTTTTTTACAATTTTATTGATTTTCCATGTACCTTTTTTATTATGACTATCGAAGAAATGAAAATGATGTGTTTTCAAATCTTTTACATGATTGTTTTTATGAAGCAAATCTAACAACTAGTTTAAAAAATAACAAAAAAAAAAAAAAAAAACTAACCATATTCAGGAGCAGCTGACTGATATCCCCAATAACTGGATTTTCATTTCTCAAGGCTTTCATACTATTGTTGAAAGTAGAATGTATTTGTACCATTTCTTCAAGATTTGCAAACAATAAATTCAACTGCTCAGGGTTAAGAATTTCCTTTTCTTTCATCGGTCTATAAAATATCCTTTCTAACACTTTAAGCCCACGTACGTGTGATTTTTCAGTATAAAAAAGTTCTGAAACAGATAAAATTAAATTTTAAAATTCAAATGATTAAATTATGACAGCCAAATGAAGGTTACAACCTAAAATATACTTAAGGCAAAGATAGTCCAAGAAAGCTTTGGACAAAAACGAAAAAAAAATTGGGTGGTTCTTCTATGTAATATCCGTTCCACATTATTATAGATACATAAACAATAAAGATATATACAACTACAATCAGGACAAAATCACATGCATATCCCTCACATTAAATCTGGTATAGTATTGGTTTCCAAAGGAAAAAAATTCAAGTATAAAATAAGGACAAAAATGATAAATGGCTACTTGCATAAATTTTAAATTTTTATTTGTCAAAGAGATTATACTATAACAATAAAAATTCAAAAAGCCGATTTTTTCTGGTGCATATTTATGAAGATAATCAGCATAAAAGGAAAGTGGTCGGGACGGAGCTAAGTCATGAGAGTGATGGAGACAGGACTATATCATGGCCTGCCAGCGCCTAGCTCATACAGTTGATTATCTTGTACATTTTAACTTAGAATAGTGTATCCACCTTTAAAACTTCCATCCAAGAAATATCTTTCCATTTTTATTCTTATTATGTCATCTCTGAATAGAAACATTTAGTTTTATAAATCCAAGTAAAAAAACTAGAGCTGAGAGAGATTTAAAATTGTCATGTTTGGCAACTGTCTATATCACATTACAGTAGACTTAGGAAAACTCTCAGTCCCCACTGTACGTATAGTCACAATGTTATTTCAAGTTTTAGCTAAATTTTATAATATTTAAAAAGTGTAAATAGGTTTAGCGTTACCTTCCCATCTACACCTTGGCACAATGGGTAAAAATAAAAATCCTAAATCCTTACAAAACTAAGTAAAAAAACAAGAGATTTTATAATAAGTTATAAAACAAAGAAAAAATTTAACAAATTCATCGCTTTGCATTACTATGAAATATACTATGTTTACAACAATTTTAACTGATTTGATGTTTGAAGATATGTACTAGCCAAGGTTCATTAAATTGAATATTTTTTTTATGAATTACATTAACATATTTAATGACCAATACTCTTAATGGCTTTTCCAATTGTACAATAAAATAGATTAAGGAAAAAAACAAAACAATATAATTTCAATATACTGACCATTTATAATTTCTTGTCTTTTGCGTTCATCTTCAGTCATTTTCTCCCTAACCTCCTCTGGAATGGATGCTGTCCATTCTGGTGGAACTGGATCGGACTCTATGTCACTATCCCATGGCTGTTGCTGTTGACAAGCGACAGCCTCAGTCGAGTTGCTTGGGCTCTCCAGGCTTCTTCAACAAACAAAAGTAAGGTTAAATTCTACGTTCATTCTACTCAACTACAACAACAAATATTGAATTAGAACATGGTCTTCAAAACAAGATAAAATATTAAAAAATTTCTGAAACTGGACAGAAATGGAAACTTGTCAATCTCACTCATTTGTTTAGTCATCATTATTAATTTTTTTTTTACCCTACTTAGTTGTGATTTTGTTTAAGATATTCAAATAAATTCATCACCAACAAGGAGAAAAGAACAGGAATGATTCAGAAACTCACATAATGTTGTAATGGGACCATAAATACCATTGGAAATTGAGGAGGAATAATATTATCAAATTCTATTTAAGGAGTTAAAATAATTGGGAAAAAAATTGATTTCATAAATTATAATTTTTTTTACATTCTTATTATTTTAATCTTCATAAAAGTACTTATAACTATAGATAGACTGCCTTTACTAACATAAGAAATAAAATACAAATGATTCCAAAGCATTTATGTGAAAGGTTATGAAATCTATTTAAAATTAAAATCACAATAACAGAAGACTAAAACATTACTTAAATTAACAAGTCTTACATTTATACTTTTGAAACCAAAATAAAAAAATAATGCCTTTAGGGAGAAGCTAGAAGAGTAAAATTATTAAAATAATGATTACCATAAAAATAAAAGGACATCTAAAAACGGAAGGTCTTAAGTAAATAAATGTTGCTGACGCAACATGGAGCTTTTGATTATAGCTCTGAAAGTTTTTGACTGAAAAGTTTTTAGATAACATAAGTGGTTATTTTTTTTAAGTTTTAATTTTAAACTTCTTAAAAGGAATTAATATAAAAATCATGGCCTAATGTTTAGCATTTTTCAGTTCAGGTCTACATTTTATATAGGTCAGTGTCCGAGGAATTAAATTTTATTGGTCTGAGAAATTTGGAAAATGGTTGAGGTAAACAGAAGAGTGTTTCATTTGAAAGAGTGAAAGTAATGTGTTGCGATTTGTTTTGATTAAGTTGAATCTTAAACTTTAAAGTTTGCAGTAGTCATAAAATTGTGTCAAATATAAAATCTGTGTTGGATTTTGAGGCATTTTTAAAAGTGTTAAAGTAGGATAATATTAATAGAAAAATAAAAGATTAGATTTATAACTTTGATAAACATATTTCATATTTTTTTACCTGGTAGAAAGACTAGAATTAGAAGAGCTTCCGGAATTCGGAGGAGGATTAAAGGAAAATGACTGGACATCAGCTTCTGCCTCACTGCAACAAAGAAATAAAATATAGAGTATAGTTAAATGATAAAGTAAAGATAAATTCCAGATAAAAAATAATTGACGTCATTTATGAAAAATTGTTATTATGAATATAATTTACCAAGGGCCAAGTTAGAGCCCCTTACATTTCTTGTTAAAGATTTGAATAAATGGCTATGTGATCAACAATGTTATTTATTATTGGTCATGTGAATACTGGTGAAAAGTAAAATTTTTCAGTTTTTAAAAAATTTACTTTAAATATATAAGGCTGGCATGTATGATCAATAGGCACCTCTATCAACTTGATAATAATTTAAATATTGAATTTATATGAATAGAAGGAAGAAATATTATATTAAAAATCTCTTTACACCTGAACTCTTTACTGTGATACTTTATATTCCCCCTTTATTATTAAGAAATGGAAATTATATATTTTTGGGGAAAAGAGGAATAAATAACATGCAAAAATGAAGGACAGTTGTGTGAAAAAATCTGTAGGTTTATAATTATGATGTATTTGGAAAAGGTACAATTTACAACTATTAAGTTGCTAGATTTTTAATTGAGTGCATTTTAGTAAACTTTAGTTAATTAGTTGATGATTACTAAATATATTATTCCAATGAAATTCCTCATTCAATAAGAAAATATTGCTGATAACTTTCTAAAAATAATTGATGGTCATTTATAAGAAAAATGTAAACTTAATATTTTATAAATATTATGATAACATTTAAAATAATTAGAGTTGAACGATGAAAAAAAAAAAATTAAATCTGAATGAAGAAATGAATGGATTGATTATGTTTACAGGAGTTACCAGTGGAGAATGCACTTTAACTGAGCGTTAGCAAGACATTAGTAGGAAAATAACAAAATATTTTTTCTCATTGGGCGGAATCCGAAAGAAGATTACAGTTATTAAGATACAAAATGCGTAACTGAAACTGGCAACCAGCCCAAGAAATGCTATATCTACATCACAGTAAAACGGTTCTATTTGTTTTGAAAACCTCACAACATTTGGACCGAACTAGCGTTCAAATTCATTTTTCATCGACATAAGAAATGATTATGATCAATAATTAATGTCTGTTGAAGACATGATATGATCCGTATAATCTGAACAAGCAAAATATGGCGACGCAAATGAAAGGGTACGACGCATAGGAAAACTGAAACCATCATTTTTTTTCCATTAGTAAGATTTATCTTTCCAGTTATCCTTAACCCAGTTCCTGAGGCTATTAATGAACCAATAACTATACAATTATCAATTGAAAATACGATCGAGGTAGAGACATTAACAAAATAAAATAAGAGAATCTGTAAAAACATAAAAGAAAAGAAATTCAAGCACATCTGTAAAATGTTTTTTAACATTTTTCTAACCTTTACGTAACCAATTAAAACTAATGCCAAGATTGAAGTTATTGAAAATCTACAAGAATGTTGCACTGCTAAAGGTTGTTTGTTTACCGGTCTCATAATTAAGGAAAGAAGAACGATGCTTAAAATAAGAATATTACAAAAAATATTTCGTTAGGAGAAACGCAGGAGGAAGATAAATAAACTCGAAGCCGCGAGACATGTGCCTACTGATCTAATCTAATAAAGATATGAAGATTAGTTTTATGTTCGAATCAACTAGTGCTAATCGAGATAACTAGTGCTAAAATGAAAAATAGTCGCAGAGGTACGAATATGACACGATATCAGCTGATTCCGATCTGGAAATTTGGTACAGGATTAAGAGTGAAGAAAATAGCTCTTTTTTTATTATTTATCTCGATAGCAGGAAATTTCGAGTCCTATTAGTTAGTTTTTGTTTGTTTTATCGTAATAATGATAAAAAAAGAAAGACAAATATAAAAACGAGAGAATCAGTTCAATTAAATATCACTCTCATTTTCCGAAATAGTTTATTTCCTGCAAGAAATGGAACCATTTGAAGCAACTCAAATCGTAGTGAGGACGGATGTAGTTTTCAACAATAAATTTTATAATACTTTTTTTTTCTCTCTCTCTCTTTTCACATCCACATTCAAGAGTCATCAGTGTTTTATCATAATTGAATTATTTTTTGTAGCACTTTGTTAATTTAAAAAAAATAAGCACAGTAGAGACTCACTCTTCACTATCCAGTAGAATTTCTTTTAGTGTTTTTGCTAAGCCTGTTATTTTAGAATTCTTCCAGTAGGTGTTTCACTGTTTGAGATATATTATTGCGTTTTGCACAAATGGGCGCTGCGAGACCTCTTAGAATGTATGCATTTGTAAACTGACAGTGCACAGTTCTAAGTCGGTAGGGCGTAACTTTTCTTCTAGAACTTCTATGGGCTATTTACCACAATTAGTTTTCACTTCTGTCAGTTTACAGTCTTTGGTTTTCTATTACTTCTCCCACTATGCTAGTTGCGTTTCCTTTGTGTAGTGCCCCAGTATTCTAAAGTAACCTCTTTTAATCAAGTCCATAATGCCGCAGTGGGCTGGTGCCCAAACGAAGACTTCTTCCCGGTAATTTATCAAGTCATTAAACCATGAATTATATATCTTCCATAAAATATCAGTAGTAGTAAATATATGCTGACTCCCATAATTTTCGCTTATGCGGTTCCGTTATAACATTCGTGTCCGTCATACTTATATATAAGTAATAAAGCTAGTGAATCGTTATTTTATTTTTTCCTAGTGTTATCAATATCGTGTTAGATAAAACTTCATTTTTGTTTTCTCAAAGTATAAGAGGAATATTGGAAAATAAAAGGACAGAACTAAGTGGCTAACTGAATGCCGAGAATATTATTAACCCCCTCCCCTCTCCTCCCTCTTGGCTGTTTCCCTTCGACCAGGAGAATCTGGGGATTGTTTCCTTGAAAGGTCGGTCCCGGCTAAGGTCAGTTCTTCTAAATGTCAGTTGCCAACTATGTCTTTCAAATCAAAATAAATAAAATAATTGAAAATCTTAATAATTTAAACAAATTACCAAGAAACAAAAAAACATTTTGGAGAAAAGGCGTTTAAGATATTTTAAGTCCAACCTTTTACTCTTGTTACTGACTATTTTATGCAACTAAATCTAAGTATGTCCAAAATATTCAGCTTAATAAGTATGTTATATATCTATACTCAAAACTTTCAAACCTTGAATCATTAAGACCATAGCCGCCGACTATTAGGGGCTCGCGGAACTTAATTCTCCCCAATGCTGCCGCGATGATGGCTCAGTTCCTAACAAATATGAACTTCATGAGCATATCGATCGCTTGCAATATAATTCCATTACAAAGGACTATACCATTAGCAGGCATAGTAATATTTATTTAACGGTGTGCACGGGCGGATCTACGGGGGGGGAGGGGGCTTTCGGGCTGAAGCCCCCCCCCCAAAATGGTAAAATATAACCATGTTTTATCGAAAAAAATATTTAAAAAGTAGCTCTTAAAGTATTATTATGCGTGTGATTACATTTAACAGGGCTTTAGGAATAACTTAAACACCATTTCATACAGGTAGTTTCTTACAGGTAGTTACCATACAGGTAGTTTCATACAGGTAGTTACCATTTCATACAAAAAAAGTTTCTTTCTTTTTTTCCAAAGTAATTATCGTTATTTTTATGAAAAAAAAAAACTTTCGGGCTGAAGCCCCCCCCAAAAATTAATCCTGGATCCGCTAGTGACGGTGTGCTATTTTGGATTCATACTCACCTAAACTGTGAAAGGAAGCATCTATTAAAATAATGTACTGTTTTAGTTTAAGGTAGTTTGTGTGACTAACACTTTTTTGTCATCAGGAAGGGCTTGAAACAACACAATACCTACTTTAGATAGTAATTTTCTATATAGAAATATATTATATATTGCGTATTGGCATATAAAATATATTCCAAAAAATATTCTCATCCATCCAGACCTCCCACCCCGTGATCCTACAGTTTGCCTTCTTCCTCTCTCCCCCCCCAATAATTTTCATAAGTCGGCGCCCATCATTAAGACTATGTTACAATATTGCAAAATATGTAGAGTGGAGGATGTATATAGTATGGCTTTGTATACAGTATTATGATGGAAATGTATATAGTAGGGGAAGAACATAAGAAAAGTTGTTTACTGGACATTTTCAGGAATTTAATTTTTTTGGCGTTTTTAATTTTCTTTCAAACACCGAAATTTACTTATTAGATTGATAATGGGTAAGATATAAGCTCAAAAGGTCTGTATGAATATAATAAGATGTCTCTAATCAATATATATATATAAATATATATAAATATATATATATATATATATATATATATATATATATATATATATATATATATATATATATATATATATATATATATATATTAACCGGAGCATCATTATAGATTAAAAAGAACAACATTGAAGAGAGCAGTTTATTAATTATTGGAGAAACATTTTAATTCGATAGGCAAAACATGGAAATATAATGAGATCAAATCGACAAAATATACTTATTGTGTTTTAGACTAGGTTGAAAATACAAAGGAATAAGTAGAATCAAGTTCATTGTAATATGAAGACTCGTGAAGAAATTTAATATGTAAAGAATAAAGAATATGACATATTAAAAAATATTTAAATAACTTAATTGTAGAGATCCCTGAATTTTTTTCCTAAGAATGGAATGAGTCAAAGAAAATTTTAAGGTTTCGTAGATCCATAAAACTCAAATGGTACAGGAAAATCATCGAAATGTTAATGGCGATTAAAAAAACCTGATGTGCACATCAAACGCCTTTCACTTACCACTTTACCTTAATTATAAATTATTTTCTGCGATATTTGGTCTATTTAACATTTTTAATGGAGCTAAACCTTAACAAACAAATTTGCAAATTATGGTCACATTTATTAATGAAAAAATTCACGACAATCAAAATAACACTAACCATATTTATTATTTCTATGGTACTGTAATAGAACATGAAAATACCAATGCTCAAATAGAGCTAATAAAAATCACACAGATGGG